AGCATAAACTGTACAAATCTTGTCTCTGATAAGAAAATCGAGTACACATTTTTTTGAGGACGTCAGTTCATTCAGGATGCGGAGGCAACTTGGGAAAACATTTTCCCTTGATATACGAGGTATATCGGTGCCCTGGTGGCACATCAGTTAAAAGTTTGGCTATTAACCCAAAGGTCAACAGTTTGAATCTGCCAGCCACTCCTTGGAAACATTATGGGGCAGCTTTACTCTGCCCTATAGGGTTGCTATGAGTCGGAATCACTCACACTCAGCGGCAATAGTTTTGGTTTGTTATATGAGGAATATAGGCCAAATGGTCTTTCCTTTCCGGCCTAAATACTATGTTTGAGAAAATAGTGTGTAGTAAATAGCAAAGTATGGAAGTTAGGAATTATTCCGCCACTGAACAAACCACACTCCTAGACAACGGACTTCCTGCCCCTTCAAAGTGAAGAAGTGTTTCGTTCCCAACAAACAAGCTGCCTCCATTGCAAGTTCTGGATAACATTGGTCTTAGGTAAGAAGAAAACATCTTTAAAGGCCATAACTGTCACAGTTTTTAATGTATTATAGTTTGAGGACTCCTTTCAAGAAATATTTGTCTAATGTCTTCTATGTGTCAGGAACCATCCCAGGTTCAAGGTATACCTCCGCTTGCATTCTCCACACAATGGTTAATAATCAGAACACGTCATTCATTCCCCTGCTTTAAATCCTTCTTTGGCTTCTCTTGCACTTAGAACAAATGCCAACTCCTTTATTTTATTAATAGTGTTTATCACCATCTGTCATTATATTTTAATTTGTCTGCTTACTTATTTAGTATATGTCTTGTCCTAGCAAGCGGTAACATCTTTATGTTGAATTCGTCTTAATTATTGCTGTATTCCCAGAAGCCAGCATCCTGGATTCAATTCCATGAGTAAGCATTTAGGATATCACCTATAAGACTGTTCTGTTATATTTTTCTTCATATATTGGAGAAACTGTAGGATTTGTTGTTGTTGTTAAGTGCCGTCAAGTCCATTCCAACTCATAGCGACCCTATGTACAACAGAACAAAACACTGCCCGGTCCTGTGCCATCCTCATGATTGTTGTCATGCTTGAGCCCATTGTTGCCACCACTGTGTCAATCCATCTCATTGAGGGTCTTCCTCTTTTTCACTGATCCTCTACTCTACTAAGCATGATGCCCTTCTCCAGGGACTGGTCCCTCCTGATGATATGTCCAAAGTATGTGAGATGAAATCTCATCATCCTCGCTAATGAGCATTCTGGCAGTACTTCTTCCAAGACAGATTTGTTCATTCTTTTGGCAGTCCAAATAGGATTTGAGGATATCATTAATGGTAAACAGGACAACAAAGTTTGCTGGTTGCTAACAATTTTTCATTTCAGACATTATGGAGAAAAATCTTTGCTCAGAGTGTTTCTGTTCTCTCAGGCACAAACAATATTTGAGTCAAAACAAAAAGTCTAGTAAGTCTGCATTTTATCTCAAATGTCAAAGAAAGAAAGTGAAACAGATATCTATTTGTTCCAGATTTGTTGGAGAGATTCTAATAAACTCAGGGCCTCACACCCAGTCTGTGGATTCCTTTTAATGGTTTGATTTGGTTTTAAAAACCTTTTACTCTCCAGAGATGAGGAAGAGAGGAAGACTAATTTATACATTAAAGAAACATTTTTCCAACATCTGCTAAGTCCAGGCATTTAGCTAGAAGAGAGTGTGAAGGATGAGAAGACGAGTGATGAAGGGCAGAATCACGATAATGCTGCCATGTAAGACTTAGGTAGAGAAAGGAGACTGAGAAGGAAAAGCATCAGTAGAAGGGAACCAGAAGTATGTGTTGCCATGGATGTCAAGGAAGTTGAAAGTGTCAAGATGAATTTAAGAGAATGGCCAATGGTGGCAAATGGCACAAAAATCCGAGCAAGAAAAGAATGGGAAGTGTCCATTGGATTTGGCAGTTGAGCTTTGCCACAGCAATTCCAATTGAGTAATGAGGGTAGAAGCCTGATTGAGAGAAAGTGAGAATGGACTTTATTGGAAGGTGAGTAATTAAGACAATGAGTTAGGACTGTGGCCTTGGGAAGCTTAGTTTTGAAGACAGGAGAAAGATAAAATGGTACCTAAATAGGAGTTTCTGTGGAAAATAAAGTAGGTTTATTACTCAAAAGTAGGTTTTAAATTGTACGTTTGAAGGAGTATGTGCATTTTATCGTATCCTATTTATACCTTAATAAAGTGTTGTGTTTTGTTTTGCTTTTTAAAAAGTAGGTTTTAGAATTTCACAAAATATTAGTATTTGTCTCATTTGGTAATTAAACTTCAAATTAATTGTAACATATTTAGGTATTTCCTGGTATGTGAATGAGAAAAAGTCAAAATAATGAATAAACCAGAAATACGTAAACTCAGATCTCCCGGTTTACAAATAATAATTAGAAGAAGATCAACAGTAATAAAAGTGTTTTTATTCCTATGGTAGGAAGCAAGAAGGCATGATGACCTGAGATATGGGCCAACATAGATTAAGGACTGGAATTATAGGTATAGTTTATAGATTACTCAGATTTATGTAAGAGACTAGACATCAAGCTAGATTATGACCCAAATTAAGGCCAATAAAAGCCACATTAAGGCTCAGGTTGTTTGCTGAGCATAGGTAAACAGACATTAATGTCATCAAAACTTCATATGGGGTCATAATGGAAATAAATGTAGAGGAAGACATTGAGTAGAGAAGGGAGAATATCATCCAGATTAAACACATGTCTCATTTGCAGACGTTCAGTAATTGCCCTGCCAGCGTCCTAAAAATTGAAGTGAATAAAATGCCAAAGTTTTAAACAATTACTCAATAGTCAGTAAACTAAAAGATGGGACAGTTAGACAAAACTGAAGTGAAGTATTAACTCAGTGAATGCTGTTTATTCGGAATGTAACCATCTAGAATTTTCTCTACCAGTTTTTCACATGAAATAGAAAAAAAAAGAAAGCTAATAGACTAATACTAATGTGTACAGTGCTTTAAATTTTTTCAAAGCATACTTTTCCTCACTGAATCCTTAAAATAATTCAAAGAGATAGGCAGTGGGCCAGGGCCTTTTTATTCCCCTCAAGGTGACATTTATCTGTGTGTTTTCACATAAATGAACCCTGAGAGGTAATAAGATTTCCTCTGACTTGTCTTGTTTTCCACAACATTATCCAGAGAAGCCGATTTTTCCAGCAACTGAAAACGCAATAGAGTAAGCCAGGGGAGATGACAAGACGCATTTTATATCTGTTGAAATATGTGTAGGCACCTTATTAATTACAAAAGAAAATCTAAGCACTAAAGATAAGTGGCATGGTCCCCAGCTTACTAATTAGAGAAGTAGTCAGTGTGGCAAAGTGATGTGACCATTGCATTCCAGATCTCAATTCAAGATTAAAAAAGCAGCTTTCCATACCTGTCATAAAATTAATAAAGATTCATTATGATGTTGTATACCCCTATGACCTCAGAGCATACAGTGGGAAGTTATGGTTATAAAAGTATGATGAGTTATAAGGCCCCACAATACATTCAGCATTAATTTGGTATCTGATGTACTAAAATCTGCCTTCATCACTTTTCCTATTTCCTCTAACTCAATCCTGTTTATTCCCTCCCCCTCCCCATAATAATAAATAACATTTATAGAGTTAGGATCGATTCGATGGCAAGCTGGTTTGGTTTTTATAGAGGTCTTACTATCTACCAGGCATTGTTCTAAGAACTTTACATGTACTACATCATTTAATTACCACAACAACCACATTAGGTACTGTTCTCTTCATATCCATTTACAGATGAAATGGCCATGATACAAATAGGTTAGGTAACATACCCAACTGGCACACAGCTGGGGAGTATCAGAGCAGAAATTCAAATCCAAGCAGTGTAGAATTAGGGCCCTTGTTCTCAAATACTGAGTTATCTTCCTCCCATATCTCTGCCTACATTTTTATCTCAAGTCAGAATCATCTCTCTCCTGCAATAGTACAACAGCCTTCTAGCTGATCTCCATTAAACTTCTCTCTTAATTCATTATTATTATTTATTATTAAAATAGTATATGAATACATTCCCCAGGTAAAATATTCTAATAGCATAGATTAGACAAAGTCCCATTTGGCCCCCAGTTACAATCCCAGGTTTCTCCCCGTGATCTGGTATGTCCCCTCCTACATCATTTACTGCATATGTATATACCTTTAAAAACACAGTATTGTTTGAAGGATTTTTAAAAAATAAATGTTATTTTACTAAGCATTTGAAAATTTCATTTAAAATTCATATGTCTTTGAGAATATTCCAAATCACAATACTGTGATTTTGAGAGAAGAAATACCTGGTTATGACAGTCCCTTTTGTACGATACCTATTGAAGTGTTTTACTCTTCTTTTTAATACCAGTGACACTGAGCAAAGTTCTCCAAAAGAAAAGATAAGGAAAAAAAAAAAAAAAACACTCTGGGTATTTCCCAGAGTTGCCATGCCCTGAGGCCAGATCTACTTCTGGATAAGCAGAATATACAACTTACCTGAACAGTTCATTCCTGCAGCACCCTGGAGTATTGGAATTACGTTATGGTTCTACTCGCTACTGAACCAATTTCTTCACAGAATTGAATGTGTTTACCTCTCTACTTGTTTACTATCTCCAGAGTGAAAGCTCTTGAGGACAAGAATTGCATCTATCTTGTTTCCTCCTCAGCCTTATTTTTTGGCTCAGTACCCAGCCTGTAGTTAAAGCTCAACAAATATTTGTTTAATGAATGAATGAACCCAATAATATATGACTAACTTTGATTCAAACTCAGGGTTCCATGAGTTCTGTGCTTTGGCTTTTTGAAATCTTGAAACACAGGAGGATTTGATCGTCCCTGGACATTGTACAGTTGGGATGACCTAAACCGTTATAGAGCAGTCATCATAAATAACCACTCAGCTAAGCAATACCTACCTGTGGTGCAGAGCATGGAAAGAGCAGACCTTCAGAGTCAGCCACCTGAGTTAATAAAACATCACCACACGCTTGCTGTGTGACCTTGGACAGTTTTCTTAACCTCTCTTTTCAGTTTCTTTGTCTGTAATAATGAAGATAATAAACCTTTGTGATTTAGTGAGAATTAGGTGAAATAATGTATTAATGCATGTAATAACGTGTAAGACATTCAGTAGGTGCTCATTAAATGGCAGTCTGTTTCTCCCTTCATCCACTCCTGACCTGTTACTAATAATAAGACTTTGATTTTACTTACCCTGATAATCATTTCTCTTCTTTTGTTTCCATTTGTGGCACTCTGGACAGCAGCTTCTTTCTCTTCCAGTGCTGACCTACTGACGGGTTGGAATCAGTCCCAGAGCTCTGGGCTCTAGAGATTGCCGGTAGACTGTGAAGCATTATGGATCAAATCCAAGTTCTATAGCACATAATGGTTCTGGCCATTAAAAGAAAAAATCCAAACTGTTGTAGCTACTTTACAGAGTATAATATATACCCAAGAGTTTATAATAGGGTTCCCAAATGTGGTGTTCTAAAAATCGAAAATTACTCATCCCTTCATAGAAATAAATTGCTATGCTTAAGGATTAAAACAGGCACTTTGTTCTTGAGTCTAAAATTTTCCCTAAAAGGTATCACAATTATAATTTCAAAACCAGTGAATGTTATTCAAACAGAACAAGGTAGAATCCTTAACTTAAAATCACTAGATTTAGACTTTCATCCTGTAATACTCTTTACCCAACCTCCACCATTTCTGCTACCTCAAATTCATTTGGATCTACCCCAAAACCCTTTATTTACAAAGTCTTAAATACTCAGAAACACTTGTATTTATTCTATCATGTACACACCCTAACAAGGCATCCCAGGACTTTAAAAAAACTTAAGGAGGCTCAGCTGAACAAAATCTTGCCTCTATTATAATTATTCTCATTCTTCTCCAACAACATTTAATAATGTCTTCCCACAAAACATTTGGGCAAGCCTACTGGGCTGCTACATTAACGATCCTCTAGGAATTTTCGGAGTCCCTGGGTGGTGTAAATGGTTAGTGTCGTCAACTGCTAACCAAAAGGTTGGAGGTTCGAGTCTACCCAGAGGCACCTCGGAAGAAAGGCCTGGTGATCTGCTTCCAAAAAATCAGCCTGAAAATCCTATGGAGCACAGTTCTACTCTAACACACATGGAGTCGCCATGAGTCATAATTGACTGCACAGCAACTGGTTTTTGGTTTTTTAAAAAGTGATAATCCCTTGCTTCTTCATATTGTACTGCATATTTGAGTGAAAAAAAAAATGCCCAGCTTGACAAAGATAGAGTTTCTGCTATCCATTTTGGCTCTAACCACAATCCTTTAGTGGAAATCAATCTGGGCATCTTCTAAATCATGTTTAAAAAATAAATCAAGTTCTTGTTTTGAGATCTGGGTGACGTCAAGAATATTTAGAGTATTTTCTTCATGTGTCCTTGGCTTGAAGAGTATATCTTTTCCTCAGAGATTAAGCAAGAGTTTAATCTAATTAAAAGCATAGTCAGTAGGATTAGCTAAACATACTAAAGAAGAGTGGTGGCTGAATTACTGTATCCTAGTTCACCTTTGGTAAGAGCTGATCTCAGAGTTCCTTATTCATATAAAGCTCCAAACCAGGAGGAATTCAAACATCACTCACGTGCTCTTACCAAGGAACACCAAAGTGGAAATTAATAGCTAAATGGGCCTGAAAGTGTCCAGGAAGAACTATATTTTCTCAATCCTGGGTTCCAGGATTCTTATTTTTTCGTCTAAATATATAAGGTGCAGGGAAGAGATGCATTCAGGTCATCTAAAGCTTGCTGTGAACTTTTACTACGTTCAGAAAAGGGCATAGGGACTTTATGGAGATGCAGTTAAGAAAAAGATATGAGCTCCCTTTAAGAGACTTATAATAAAACAAGTCTGAGGAAGCTAGTTGAATGCAAACATCCATGGGGACAGGGAGTGGGGGGAATCAGGGAATTTACAAACTGTTTGGCTACCTAGGCATTCAGTCTTGCAGGCCAGGTATTTGCTGGATCTGGGGCAAAAGGGGGCCACCCAACCAAGATGGTTATTTAAGGACCTAAATCTTACCATTATCCCCATCATCTGAGTGCATCAGATATCATCTGTCCTTCCAAGGTTTGGTGTCTACACAGCAAAATACCAGAGAATCTTAAAGGACAGTATGATTTCATAGTCTTGCTAGTTCCTTAAAGTCTCTTATTGTTGTTATTGTGTGCCATCAAGTCGATTCTGACTCATAGCGTCCCTATAGAACAGCGTAGAACTGTGCCATGGGGGTTTCCTAGGCTGTAATCTTTACTAGAGCAGATTGCCAAGTCCTTTCTCCTGTGCAGCCAATGATGGGTTTGAACTGCCAACCTTTTGGTTAGCAGCAGAGTGCTTCACCATTGCGCCAACAGGGCTCCTTAAAGCATCTTGTTAAAGCACCTTGATTCTTCAAAGATGAAGGGAGACAAAGAAAACCACAGCCTATAAAATTCATGCTCAGAATATTTCATCGATTGACAAAATAACTATAATTAGTAACAAGAAAAGGCAAAGAAGAAAGCAATAATTGAAAATAGACACATCTTAAACAGACAACAGCCCCAGCCCAGTTAATTGTAAATTAAAATTTATGTCTCCTGTGTCTCCCTGTCCTCCTCCGCCTCTCCCTCCCTCGTCCCTCACCTCCCTTTTTGCCTTTTAAAAAGCAATTTTGCCCAAACTCAGCTCAAGTTAAGCCACTTGAATTACAGTGGTGTGAAATCAAAGCTTTGCTCTGGAGATTGGGAGCTGAGATGTAGTTTGCTACAGACCTTGTAAAATCATCCACCATTCCAGAAAACCCAGCTACACCATTAGAAAACCTTATGTTTCTTCCTGGACCACACAAAGAATTTTAAATAATGTGTTAATCTGTTGTAGTCTTTCTTCAGGTAGTGAGGAGTGGGATTGGGAGGGGTAGGACAGAGGTTGGGATATCTGTGAGTAGGGCATTTTTTAATGTCTCAATTAAAATGGTTAATTAGATACCATAGAGATTCCTTGGATGCTTACAAAATTGTATAAAATGCTTATATCAAACTTCTTACTTCTGAGGGGGATTTCTCTTTCATTTTAAATAGTGTTCTTTATATTTGCTATCTGGTAATACTGAAAACAAAATCTCAGGGGGGAAAAAACCACTAAGAGTTTAAACATACCAACAACTTTTCAAGGACAAAGAATAAAACAACTACATGGTAGACAAAAATCTCCTTCCTGGATAAAAATCAGCATGAAACAACTTTGGGAGGAGTTAAAAGAATTATCTGCTTACAATATCAAGCCCAGAATATGGCTGTGAAGGCCCCTGTAAGTAATGCTTCACCTACCAGTTTCTTATAACCAAAAAAAAAAAAAAAAAAAAAATCCAGCAGTTTCCGCAACTGACGCAACTATCCAACAGGAAATTATACAAATTCCTCTTAAGCACCTCCACCAAAAAAAAGGTAAAGAAAAAAAAAAAAGTCTCTGACCAGAAGAACTGGGTCACAGGATGAGAGAGGAGCCATTCTCTTGAATATCATTAACTCTTGATTTTTAAGAAAGCGTGGTTCCCATTTGGCCTAAGAGAGTTTCTTAAATGTGACCTACATTCAAGCACAATTATCTTTCTTTCCCAATTGGCAAACATATACTGCATAACCTTGTTATAAAATCCCATAATTAACACAGTTTTGAATGTTACAAGAAAAATTATCTGACCTAAAATGTAGTAAGATATATAATAGTCAAATTAGAATAGTCAGACTATACATTAGCCCTGCCTTGATTTTGGAACAACAGCTTTTTCCCTTATATAACATGACTGATTTTACTGGTGGAAGTTATCCATAGAGTTCACTGGGAGAAAAAGTTAGGAATGCTACACCCTTATTGAAAGTTCAGAAATACTTTTAAATATTTTTAAAAAGTACTACCAAAGACTAAAACTAAAGCATTACTCACGAAGCCCTATGGAAGTAGGAATGTAATTTGTAGACAGTTGTCTTTATGCTGTTACATTTACTGGGTTTTATCAAGTGATATCTGAGAGGCATGGTGTGGTTTAGGAGAAAAAGTGTTGAAACGTTTGGATCTGAGTACCATGCCAGCATTCAACAACTCTATGATCATGTGATTCTCTTGGAATCCCCATTTCTCATCTGCAATGTGGGATAGTTGCAATATCTATCTCATACAGTTGTTGTAAAGAACAAATATAATAAGTTGAAGTAACTTATAAACTGAAAAGGATTAAACAAATGCTTAAGTCATTATATGCCTTCAAATACCAAGAAAATTGTCATACAATATGCTAAAAGACATACAAAATATGTCCACAGAAACCTTTTTACAAATGTAGGTTACAAATAAATACTGAATATGCATCTAGAGATTTCAGGTCATACAAATATGCATTTAAATATTTACATGGATTCCCAGAAAAAGAGCAGATTGTCCGCATGTATTTATATTCTCTTCCACAAAAGTCCATTAAAAGTCGGTAAAGGAATACAAATGGGTATAAATGCACAAGGTAAAATAACAATGAGAAATGCCCATTAGCTGATAAAAAAAATTTAACAATTTTTTAAAAGATAACAAGTGGATGGAGTCATGCTAAGATACAAAAGGTGACCAAAGAAGTTAGTTTAGAGTAAAATAAAGAGGGGTACTGACATGGATGGAGATAAGGCTAGAAGAACCAATGAGATGCTCAGAATTCTCAAAATATAGATACCCTAGGAGTGGGAGTGAAATATAAGGCTAAAAAAATAGATAAAATCAATCAGAAGTCTATTTATGGAGCAGATGATTTTTCCCCTATGTAAATCACAGCCCCATTGTGTTTTTATTGCCTCGGTCTAAAAATATGAATTTCCTTATTTTTAGAAATGTCCTTACTATGAGAAACTCACACCAGGATAAACAAATGGGAGAAACTTGTTCCAAATTAAAAAGAGATAATACGGAGAACAGAAGTTTTTCAAGAAATTCTAACATCCTTAGAGAGATTCGAGACCACATTCCATCCGTTTGACACAAACAGGATGCTATGAAAAAAGAATGAGCTGAGATTAAAAAGGAGCCCTTGGATTAAAAAAAAAAATTATGATTACCAAAATAAAAAAGCAATTAGAATTTTAAGAATATAAAATTGAGAGGACAGAATGAAAATATAAATAAAAGATAACAGACAAAGGGATCATTCAGGAAGACTAACAGATGATTAATAAGAATTATGAATAGGAAAAATGAAGGGGAGAAAATTATTTAAATGATACAAAAGAATTTTGTATAGCTGAAAGACTTCTTAATTCTTCAGACTGAAAGAACCGACCAGTGGCGGAGAAAACATCTCCGTCTAGGATCATTGAAAAATTTCAAAGCACAAGAAGAAAGAAAATATTCTAAAAGCCTCCAGAAAGAAAAAAAGCAGAGCATCTACAAAGAATGAGAACCAGACTGGTGTTAA